GTTGCAAAATTTATTTCGCTGTTTTTGCAATTTAAGGTAATTATTATGTACCTTTGGGGTAATTTTAACACCTCGACACCATCGACAAATATCATCTGGGGGCCGCTCTCGCTCTTCACGTATTCATATATATATATATACATACATATATATAAGATCTGAAGAAGTTGGAGAAGTAGCAGCTTGGGCTATCAAGCCACCGAAATCGCAACAACAACAACGACAAACGTTTCTTAGAAGCGCAAATCTTTCAACACCTTCGATGCGTGCCCCGGCCCCGACACCGATGCCAAAGGAGCCAGGAGATCCTCCTCATCATCATCCTCAGATACACCACTGGTGAGCTCCTCCTTCGATCTCCATCCACAGCTACCCTCCGCCCGCGATGCTCAATGAGCACTCCAACTCTGGCCAGTTATTTTTCACACCTCGACAACATTTTTTCGCACTTGGTGCGTATTCGGTTACCACAACAATCAAGCATTGCCGCCACCGCCAGGACACTGGAAACAAAAATCCTTAAAATATATGGTTTATATGGGTCTTTATTTAATTCTAAAACTCTCATAAGAGGTGGGGTTTTTTCAAGGGGTTATCTTGAAAAGAATTGCCTAATTTTGGAGGAAACTATATAAGATTAAATGAAGCCCAAGATGTTATAATATATTTTAGTATGTGGTTAGTTTATGATACTATATTGTAAATAGAAAAATAATAATAAAAAGGTAAAATAAAGAAAAATATGGTATCATAAGTTTATACCGATCTTAAAATGGTATATCCTGATGTGAGCTATGAGTTCTTTCAAAAGAGATACACATAATACCTATATGAGATGTAACTAAAGGATATATTTAAAAAATCTCTACAGTTTTCATTTAAAAATAGCTATATAAAAACACCAATAACTTCTGCCATTATATACTTCTGTCATTATTATTTTCTCTAGGTGTATAGATCCCGCTCCAACCGTTTCCCACTGCCGTTTTTTAATAACCGAAGCCCTGCCGCTGATTTAGCCGGGAAGTGTTATCTCACTCAGTTCATCGGGAAGCGCGGTTCGACTTTGACTTTAACTTTTGGTTTTGGTTTCGGTTTCGGTTCTGGCTTTTGGCCTTTTGCCAGGTTGCCAGGCTTTGGGGCTATAAGAGGCAGTAGACAGAAGGCAGGAGCAGGTTGCAAGAGGCACAATCGTATCCTGTGCCTGTCAGCACATTTGCTGTTGCAATTATCGCAAGTAGCGTGCGTGCAAATTACCGTTATTAGGTGCGATCGTGCAAAAATATCATCAAGAAAATATATCCGAAAGATACCTCAGTTTTCAACTTTATCCAAAAAATCCCCAAAAAGGTTTCACTTCGCTTTCATTTCATTTAATTTCCTTTCATTTCATTCATCCTTTTACCGAAAGTGACAATTTCCGCTCTGCGATCCATTCGAAAGATACTTCTTCACCAAAAAACCAGAGGAACACCCATAAAAAGTCAAATTAATGTGATGTGACAAATAGATATAGATCTCTCTCAAGATCGTGCCAGTTCGGAGCTGACAGATTTCACGCTTACGATATCGCATCCTTAAAAAAAATAAACCAACAATATCGGACTTAACTGTAACTGTAGCTTGCCAACCGATCCCGTCCATCACGTTTTACACTTGTCCGGATCGTACGTGATCGGATTTATTATTTCTTATTCCGATCCGAGGGTTCAGAGGTCAGAAGTGTGTCCCAGTAGCTGATCCCGTCCTCCAGTAGCTGGTGTTTTGAATTCCAATTAGTGTTAATGAACAGTAAGCACATAAAATATATAATTAATTGTGTTTACGACAGATAAGACTTTGACAAAAAAAAATCCCAAAGGAACGAGGATGCAAGCTGCATCTTTGGAAAGAGTTCTAGGAAAGTAGAAGAGATTTGGTTCATATTTATAAATATGTATAATAAATTTAATATTTGTCTATATTTATTTCCATTTGGACAACTTCAGGATTATGGATTGAGAAACCCCTTGGAAATATTCGAAAAAATAAATAGTGATATTAAGGTAGGGATATTAAAAGAGATTTTTACTTCATGTGCTTATCACAGAATGATCCTGATCGGATATAAATTGGCAGATATGTGATAATCGGAAATGAGCCAACTAGGAAGATTTGAAAAACCCTCAATTTTATGTTTTATTTTATTAATAAAACAATATGTAAGGAATATTTATAACTAGGAAAGGAGGTACTTGATGTACTGGTCTCAGAATGATACACTATAGAATGATACTATCTTGTAATGTATAAAATGTAGTCTTATTGGAATCATGTAATACTGTGTCTACGAAAAATAGAGGTCGCTCCCAAAAATAGGTTTATTTTAAAAATCAATCCTTAAAACCAATATAAAAGTTTTGTTGTAAAGACAAATTTTTAATAAAAATGTTGTATGAAACGGAAAAAGATCGGCTTAAAACAAAGCCATGGTAATTGATATTTTTCTATAACCTTTAGACTTCAAGAACTATTTTTATTTCAGGTTTATATAAACTTTCCCGATTTTGTAACTATTTGGTTTATGTTTTTTTTATTTTCTATATATTACTATATATTCTGTATTAGTTTTTATTTATGTTTGATGTATTTAAGATCATGTACTAAACCAGAAACTTCTTACATATGTTACCTAGTTACCTGCATGTGCCTATAAAATATAGAACAAACCGGCTACCGTACTCCAGTATTTTCATCCCCTATATCCTCTCTATCTTACGATCCTTACAAGAATCCTGTAATAAAGAACTCTGACCTGCAGATGTCGCTAGAGTGCCCCGGCCAATTGGAAAAATTCCAAAACACATTTTTATGATCATCGGCAGAGGGCGCTGCGCTGCCACCCTCCGATTGGCCCTCAGCATGGCACCTGACAACCCTGCAGGTCCTTTTCAAAAGGATTATCAGGATTACCTGCCAGACCAGCACATTCCTCGTCTCATGCACTTTAATTAATCATTCGTATTCCGCGGCTAATTAAAATGCTACCAAAACATTTTTTCCCTTGATTTTTTTTTGTTTCTGTGGGGGTGTGATTGAAGCAAATTGAACAGAGGCTCCCAGAAAAAAGGGTTCGTCCTTATTTTCTGGAGAGAGGAGGCGTGCAGGTGATGACGCAAACGATTTTCATTCAGAATATTAGAAATGCATTAAGGATTTCCACAGCTTTTAAAAACCAATTAAAATGGAAAATGGTTTTGAGTTTTTTTGTTTCGATTTTTCTGGGGCTCCTCCTATAAATTCTGATCTTGTTCTGACAGCTGCTTTCGGCGGACTCCTCCTTTTGGGTTAATCAAGGTTTTATGCATTTATTGGCCCAATCTCGTTACGCTGCCCCTCACTAACGGTACTCCCCTGGCCTGCAACAAAGTTTCCCTTTTTTTTGCAAAAAAATATTCGTCAGTTTCTGTTTCGTTTACAGAACAATTTTTTTTACACATTTATGAATGCTTTAAAAAAAGGAGGGGGAACCAGCATAAAAAATTCAGAGTCACAAGTTAATGAGGAATGATTCCTACACTAAGAAAAAAAGTGGTTAATTCTGGTTCTTCATAGGATTTGTTAGGAGTTCGATACTATTTAAGAAATATGTTTGAAGAAAATTCTATAGAAATGATTATATTAAATAAGAAGTAAGAAGTAAATAGACTAAATTTATGGATTTTAGTTTTAAATACATACATAATTTTTAACATTTTTTTTAAATTTATTTTTAGAATATATTTTTTTATGCAAATGAAATTATATGCTTTATATAATCTTGAGAAGTTCATGCTTTTGTAATTGGTAGCTACCCTTTATTTACAATTTTTCAAACCAATTTATTTTAATGATTTTTAAATTCAGATTTCTCTTAATATTTTATTTTAGTGTAGCGCCTTTTTCTAAATTTTTTTTTTTGCAAAAAAACCAAGACTTTGTCTGGATATATGCAGACTACAACTTTGATTCCGACGAATACTGTCAATATCAATGTCAAGGCGGCGTCGCCAGTTTCGTGACGAAGCCCATGCAAATTATTTTCTCTTTTTTTGTTTACTTCTTAATGATTCTTTATTTATGATTGTTTTTTTTTTTGTGTCCCCCCTTTTATTAAAGTATTCATGATGCAGCACACACTTGTGGGATTTGTCTGTCGCGGGCCTGTCGATATTATTATTGTTCTGGAGCTTATGGTAATATCGGCGGCACTGATCGGAAGCACGTGTCAAATGTGGCTGAATAATAACAACAACTGAATGTATGTAAAGTTCCCTCAAGGACACCCGACAGTCTGGGAAATATATCCCAAAAAAAAATTAAATGAATAAATAAAAGTGAAAAGTGCTTAGTGTCGTCTTTGGATTTCGTTTTCTTTCACATGATGGATTGCATTTTATATCAAGTTCCATAATGAATTTCATTTCCCCCCCCAACTCTGTTCTTTTATAAAATTTTTTTTTTTTTGCTTTCAATGCAAACGACATCTACAAAAGTGGAAGTGCATTCAAGTCCTTGGTCCTTCGTCCTCCGTCTCTTCTCTTTTTTTTTGCCCATGACAAGGATCTTGGAGATCTGAGATTTAAGACTCGATTTTCCCAAAACGCAAACGCAGAAAGGAAAAATATTGTAGTAAAAGTAAAAGACGAGACAGCCAAAGGACAAAAGGACTTTGTGTAGGGGTGGAAAGAGACGGCCTTATTGGGGTGTGAAAGAGAGGGTCACATTGGTAGAGTAGGTATGAGGAGTAGGAGTAGGAGAAGGAGGCACCCACAGGCATACAAAACGAAAGGGAGGATCGTTTCAGGATCACTTGTAAAAAGGGCACAAGGACTCCGGGGGTCAGGTAGAAAACAGGGGTTGCTATTGCTGCCTCTGTTGCTGTTGCTGCCTCTGCTGGCACTGCCTCTGCCGGCGCAGAGCTCACTTCGGGGGTATTTAAGGCCCCTAGCCAGGACGAGAATTATCATTACGGAATCTGATTCCAAACAGTCAACAAGCAACAGTCCAGCTAGCAAGCAAAAACATCTCGCAAGGATTACCATGACGAGCATTTGCAACAGCAACACCAACTACCAGCAGCAGCAGCAACACTTCATGATGCTGCAACAGCAACAGCAGCAGCTCTTCAGCCAGCAGCAACATCAGCTGATCGCCCCCAAGATGCCGCTGGGCAACAGCCAACTGCAGAACATGCAGACCCCCTCCAACGTCGGCCCGATGATGGCCAAGAAGAAGTACAACTACAACACGATGCCGTACGGCGAGCAACTGCCATCGGTGGCCAGGCGGAATGCCCGGGAGCGCAATCGCGTCAAGCAGGTCAACAATGGATTCGTCAATCTCCGTCAGCATCTGCCCCAGAGTGTGATCAATTCCCTCTCGAACGGTGGACGCGGCGCCAGCAAGAAGCTCTCCAAGGTGGACACTCTTCGGATCGCCGTCGAGTACATCCGTGGCCTGCAGGACATGCTGGATGATGGCACTGGCTCGGCCCCCGTCCGTTCCATCTACAACTCAGCCGATGAGAGCAGCAACGATGGCAGCTACCACGATCAGGACTACAGCGACAGCCTGGAGAGCGGCAGCCCCCAGCACCATCAGTTCGTGGCCCATCATTCCTACCACTCTGCCTCGCCCACTCCGTCCTACTCCGGCTCGGACATTTCCGGTTCCGGTTATGTCAAGCAGGAACTGCCCGATCATCGCAACCTGAAGTTCGAGTCCTTCGACAGCTTCAGCGACGAGCAGCCCGACGACGAGGAGCTCCTCGACTACATCTCGTCCTGGCAGGAACAGTGAAAACCCCAAACCCCTCAAAAACAAAACCACCAAAAACTTGTACAAATTGTAAATAACAAAAAATTGTTGCCTTAGTGAGTGAGTGAGACAGAAAGACAGTGAGAGAAAGAGAGATAGATCCTCTAATATTTTTTTTTTCAAAACCCTAATTTAAGAAATGGAAGACAATGATATAAAACAAATTTTTTTCATAGTTCTAAGTTTGTTGTAAGCATGGAAGACACTAAACTAACTATTTTTAAGGACCCATTATTGATATGCAATAATAAAAAAACAAATATCAAAACATAATTTACTACATTTGGTTTTTATTGAATTTTTAAATTTCAGGAAAATCTTTTTACAGGAAAACAACAAAAAAGTTAAAAAGGTTTCTTATAAAAAGCAATATAGCTTTCTATAGGTTTCTTATAAAAAGCAATATAGCTTTGAAAATATTTATTCCTTAAATTTCACAAAGGAATCTCTAAAAGGAAATTCTAAAAAAAATTACTATAAATAATAAACCAAAAATGATCTTTACATTGAAAAAATATAATGCATATGAAGTCCTTATAGATCTTAAAATTCTATTAAGATCTGTAAAGATTCTAGAATGTATCTTAGTCTTAAAACTACCCAACTATTGGAGAATTTAAAACAAAATATCGATTGGGAAACGAACTTTTCATATAAAAACTGGTATTCAAAAATGGCTACAAAACATATTTCAAATTCTATCCATAATAACTAAAAGGTAAATATGAAATCTCCTATACGTATATAATAAAAATGTAAATGTAAAAAAGAAAGCATAACTGAATAGAACAGAAGAATCATTCCTCAGAATCAAGCTCATCAACATAATATATTGATATTCCTAATTTCATATTGATATTTTATTCAAAATTCCATACCCCAGAAGCCCTAAAACTTGGGTAAGAACTGTCCTTTAAAACCCCAAACAACCGATCGCGTTGGCGCCTTTTTTCAAAAGTCCTAGCCATCTTATCACAAAATCTACAAAAAAATTAGACCAAAAATACTTAACAATTCAAGTGCATTTAACCCTCGAGATCATAAACCAGGGACCTAGACCCTAGAAGTGTTGCCTAGCAATTAGAGGAAAGCTGCAGGAATGACTCAGACTTGCAACAGGAGGAGGCAGGAATAATAACCATGACAACCCACAAGGAGCGGAACTTAACACCCGACCGGAAACAACAAGGAATTTGAAAAAATTATTCGTATGTAGTTATATATTCGTATACCCCGGCGAGACTTAATTTCGAAATGCATTGTTAATGGCGCGTAAATTGGCCGTGAGCCTTAAAAAGCGGAAATAGGCAGTCACGGCTGAGAGGACGAAGTGGACTGGATGGCAGGCAGGACTGGGCGCAGGCAGGATCGATCCACGTGTCTGGGGTGCGCCAGCGCTTTTTATTATTTTGTTTTTATTTTCTGGCCCAAGACCAAAACCAAGCCCAAGCCCAATGCCAAGACCAAGACCCATGAAATGCACTTCCGCTACCCCCTTGTTAAAAAATAAAAATAATTTAAATTTAAGGAAAACTAACAACTAGCAACCCCCAATTGGTGGACGAAGTTTTTCAGGCGTGTGCCGCTGCCGGCAGGATGATGATATGCAGGAATGTTGTCTAGTAGCTGGGAGGCGGGCAGGGAGGGGACACGCCCTCGATATGCAAATTGTGCTGGACACGTGCAAAAGGATCTCGATCGAGAGAGGAAATTAAGCGCACAAGGATCGCTGACCCCGCCCCGTCAGGACAAAGATCTTAGACGAACAGGAAGCATATCGTCTTGCCAAAAAAAAAAAAAAATACCAATATTTTTCCTCAAAAATTATAAAGAGAAGAAGAACAAGAAAGAGAAGATGAGAAAGAAGAAGAAGAAAAAGGAAGTTGGGAAGAGTAGGAAGGATATGTGGCAGTTGTAGGTAGTCTGAGCCAGAAGGACAATGCGAAATGTGATTGTATGTCAGCTTAAGATAAAACCAGGAAACGAACGTCTCGTCTTTTTGGCATTGTTACCGGATATCAAGAGAAGCTTAAGGATGCCCTGGACCTGGGATGCTGGACCTGTCCGGTGCCTTAGGTGTCAAAATACGGGGCTAAGCCAATGTCCTTTAATAGGCTAGCACTGGAATTTTATGCAATCTTAGCTCAGACCTGAATCATATATCCCATAGCTATTATATTATATATATGGATCATGTCTTTCGTCTCTACTGATCCTTGAGTCCTGATCCCGTATCTCAAATGTCATTGGAGCAATTGCAATAAATTCAGTGAGGCAGCCAGCCAGGAAGTAACTTCTTTTGTGCGCCACTTTAGTCCTTGTCGCAGGAAGTGCGTATTTGTTTTGCATCTCCTTTTTAGACGAAGGATATGCTAAAGTATCCTCTGGTGATTCGGTCTCGTTTATTTATTTTCGTAGATGTGCGCCCCTTGAGGAAATACGAGCTGCGATGTTATTCTATCATGTCGCAATTCAAAGGAAAAGACAACACAGCCCAGAGCCCATAGGCCAGAGACTAGAGGCCCAAGGACATGGGCCAGAGGGCACTTGTCCTGTCAGATGTCCCACTACATGTACTTGTACTTGTAAATCCTTAATGGTAGGATGGTAAAATGTATTTTGTAGTTTGAGTTATGTGACTTTATGACGGCGTCGCCGTCGCGACTCGTGATCGCTTCACTGCCCAAGATTTATGATCCATGTGTCAAAATAGGAGAGCGCATGTTTCTGCCAAGGATAGTCGCTGTATAGAGTCCTTAAAGTGCTCTATTGGTAAACTCTCAAAACCTCTTGTCAAATTTCGCACTTAACCAGGCGTCAAGTGGCCAGTGGACTCTACTACTTACTCTTCCTGGTAGCTTCTTAACGAGGCGACACCGAGTGGTAGCCGTCGGAAGGACCTCCAATCCTCCAATTGAGTTGTCCACGAGTTATACGAGAAGCGATCAAGTGTTTTGGATACCAGGAAGGGTATAATATCCTCATAGGAACTGCTGGCAAAATATTTGTAGCCCTAAAATAACAAGGAAGTGTTTCTTTTCAAAAGAATTCATTTTATGAGAAAGTGTCTTTAAAAACCTAGAGTCTAAACTCTGGGCCTTGAAAAATCCCCAAAAAACTCTCTGCATGATCTACTATCCTTAATATCCACCTGAAGATCTCTTAAACAAACCAATCAAACTGATATGCCTCTAAGAATACAACTCATTTGGCCTGTCATCTCCACAGGACTCCTCTCTCTGCCTGTCTGATTAGCTAACAGCAGGACATGTATTCCCTGGGGGATCATCAGAGTCTGAATATCCTACCCCTTATCTTATCCTTGAAAAACCCCCCCGGAAAATTCCAACTCTGATCTAGTTCTGTATTGATTTCTACGCTACATTTAGCACAGTGTGAACTGACGGTAGTTAAATGACTTTACAGTGCAGTTTCTTTTCCAACTTCCAACTCAAAGGATAAAAGGATACGTGATCGGGAGTTTGACTTGATTGTTGACATGATGGAAATGATTGGAGAGAGAAACTAACCGCAAAATCAACAATACAACACAAGGCACACGTGTCCGTTTTCGATTCCCTCATGTATCTACAATTTTTTTTGAAAGAGACTGAGTTTTTTTTTTGAAAGAAACTATGCAGGTCCTTGGGCTCCATAAACTATCAGAGGCAATCAATGTCAGTGAGTTTTTAGAGCGAGCAAAAGCCAGATTCAGATCCAGCCAGTATCCTATCTCTATAGGGACAATGCCGCGATTCGGATGAAAAGACTTCGCTGGAATATCCTGTGGCCCATTGTCCTCGCATGAAAAGTGATTTCTATGATTTCACGACATTGCGTTTCACTTTACACTCGCCGATCGATAGAAATTGTTGTTCATTGATGCGTTTCTCGAATCACAACTTTGTATAAAAGGGATCCCTTTTTGATGGATCTCCCCCGCATCTTCTACATAGATCCCCAAAAAAAAAAATAATAAATAAGAGAGTCAAGAAATACATAAAAGTATGCGGGATACTCGCTAATTCCAGCAGGACATTCTACGCAGGACATTAGCATTGAGCGTGTCCGATGCGTAGGTGTTTGTACACCGCTGGGCGTGGCAAATCCTCTACCTGTTCTCCCTTTTTTTTTCGTCTGTGATTTTTGGGAAACTTTCGGGTTTAAAGTCTGGTGGAAATTTGCGAAAACGAAACAAGTGAAAAGTGCGTGAAAAACCCCGGAAATCGAACACGTGTTTGCCGTTAAAGGCGCGACAATGTCATGGATATTTACTTTTCAAATTTGTACATATACATATATATCTCGAAAAAGAGGTATATTGTGGGTGGATATGTTTCAGCCTTTAAGCCCAGTTAAGTCGGCTTTAAGAGACTTGGACTTAATGTACATAAACATGATTATCATTGAGCATTGAGGGCAGGGATCTGTCCCGAGGTCTACCTTCCAAGGTAGCTGATGCTGCAAACTAAGGTAATCCATTCAAAAATATGGGATTTAATAGGGAAATATTTTATAATGGGTAAAGGACTTTATAGAGACTGTAAGAAGTTCTATTATTTACTATACATAGGAGTACTTTAATATATAGTGCCATTCTATATACTTTCTCCCCATACTCCCCCTTTAAAATCAAAAATCATATACCTTTCTGGTCATTTAGTTTTCTTCCGCCTGAGTGACCCTACCTCTGGGAACTGGCTCTGCAAATCTCTAAAGACAATCGCTGCAGAAAAGATACACCGACTAACCCAAAAGATTTACTAAAAAATCGCATCAAAAATCATAAAAATCAGATCAGATCTGGAAAGGAAAAGACAAAGGGCAGGCAGGCGAAGAAACCACAGAAATTGCGACGAACGCGCGGGGTCAACCATGGAGTTCAAGTCTCGGCGAGGTTTGAGGTTAACAATTATTTTGTTTTTTGTAGATCTTCAAAGCAAAGTCACCGACCGCATAAACCAAAGGCCAAAGGAAAAAATGTCAACCACAAGACTGTGGTTCTGGATCGATCCAACCGATCTAGATGGATACTCGCCATTCATCGGCAGGATAATGATCCTGATGATGACATTGGCCATTCTAGTCGAACCTTTGAAGTTGAACCGATTTTTTTGGCTTGTAGTTTTTGTGTTTGTTTGTCTATTTTTTTTTGCGTACTGCCTCCTACGATGCGATAATCGATTTATCAAAAAACACACAAAAAAACCTCCCAAAGAAATGCGCTTTGCAAAAGCAAAAGTATTGTATGAGAAATCCAGAAAGCAGGC